CCCTTTCACTTCGATTGCCCCGGCGAGGACCTGGCCTACGGATAGGCCGCCGGGGGCGGCACCATCTCCCTGCCTCGGCGCCCGGGCGGACTGGGGCCCCGGGAGCGCCCCAGGGGAATCGGGACCACGAGTCCGCTGGTCCCTGGCCCGGACTCGTGGCCGGGTGAACGCACTCGAACTGCCAGGCGGCGGGTCCGCTGAACCCCCTTGCCCGCTGGGAGGGGGTGTTCGCACCCACACAAGCCGTCACAGATGGTTTATTAGGTGATGAGCTTTCATGGGCCAGACCCACTTCCTCAGATCAAATAGTGGAAGAAAATTGGCATGACCATATATACCAAAGGATACAATCAAAAAAATGATTACTGGTAAGTGCTAGCAGGTTACAGCCCTACACTACAGGTCTAACAGTGGCACAGCTGTTGTGGTATTACTACATCACTGTAAGGTCTCCCTGTAGCCTCTTCTTGCTGGCAGGAGAGAGCTCTCTTGCCAGTGCAATTAAACTGCATTCTTTATGTTCATCAGGGAGCTTCTTCTGCTGATACACTATTGTCCAGATCAGCACTTTTGCTGGTAAAACATATCAGGGATGTGTTTTTTCAAACCCCTGACCAGCAAGTTTTACGGACAAAGGTGCTGGTATAGACATATCCTGAATGGTTATGGTGATTAACACTGAAGCATTCTCAGTGTTCAAAAGTGCTTTGGCAAAGAGGTATACCTAAAAACTTGAATAAGACGCTGTATTATGCACTAAACATATCAAGTGTTCATCAGTTCAAAAGTCTAAGTAATTATCATCCCATTTGAATTGCTTTCCTTCTTTGCTAAAGGCTATACTTGGGACCTGTAACACATCCCTCATATCACATTACAACACATTCCTGTCAACTTTGAAACTCTCAGTTTTGAGTTATGCACACATACCAGAAAATAAAGGACAATGCATTTTTATTTCACAGCCATCCCCATTACTCTACAATTCCTCTGGTTTTGCTTTAACTTTTTAATCAGCTTCATTTTTGGGTGGAGTTCAGGTATGCAAAAGTTTTATCTGGGGATGATTTGTTTTTTGGATGGTTCAGTCAGCTTTTAGGGGAAAGAGGGAAACAATTTCCCAAACTTAACAAAAGTGTTCATTAAATACATAAATGCTGATTAACTTTTGTGATCATCTTATTGCCAGAGCACAGAATTAGCGAGAATTCCAGGGCTCCAGTCCTGGTTCTGCTGCTTGTTGTATGACTTTGAATAAGTCTCTCAATCACTGTACCTTAATTTACTCTTCTGTAAAATGGGGATACAGTCGAACTCACGGGAATTTTATAAAGCTTGTTTGCAAAGTACATGTCCTAAAGGTTTCCCAAAAGTGTGATGTATTTGTTAATAATCCCCATTGCACATGTAAACAAATATTTATGAGCTTACTTTTCCCTGTCCAGTACTAGAGGATATTCAAACTTCTGCTTCTTTTCCATGTACTTGCTGTCCTCCTTGATTACAGTGGGAAATTCATTAACATCACAAGGCAAAATCATATCACTGGATTCTGATAATTCAAACACCCTCCGCTGTCCAAAGTAACCAACATAATGTCCACTTGGTGCATGCCAGAGCCTAAAGGTGCAGAAAGAGAGATGGAAAAAATGGGCAGATTTAGAAATTGGAAGAAAATGAAGTGCCTTTGGAATGTTATGTAATTTAATAACCCCTGACATGTATAGTAGGCTAGTCATAAGACAATATCAGAGTTAAGGTTGAGAGTATATTTCAGATTAAATAAATTAAGTGTAGAAAAACATTAGAAGAATGTTATATAAAACCCCTAAAACCAAGACATTCAGTGCCAAGGCTAACATTAAATGTAAAAATGGTAAAGTATGAAAATGAGTTAAGGCATTTCAAAACAACCTAAACTGCTCTATAGCGAGAAACTGCCATCATAAAAACACATTTTTAGAAGTGAAATTTCCTAGGTTTTATTTTATTTTAGAAACTTGAAATGCCCTTTTTTTGTTAAGAGCAGATTGCATAATGGGCAGTAATGCATGTTTATTCAATCTGAGATTGCTATGGTAAAATCTGCAAGATATCACATATAAGGCAAAATAACCTGACATACTAATTTGACAAGCACCTGCAGAAAGTTAAAATGGAATTAAAAAAGGAGCTCATTTCCAAAACGATTGGACCTCTCTTTATGTGCTCAGTTTCACAGAATTAGAAGAAAAATGTGGTGGTCCATCTCTGCACATTTCAGGAGACTGGTGGGGTTCAAACTTAAAAAAAAAAAAAAGGATCCAAGACCTCTGGGAAAGAAAAGAATGGACATATTATGTCTGAAGTTAAGCTGTGCATAGGCAGAACTGATTTTTTTCCTCGCCAAAACAAATACCTAAAATTATTTCAGTTCTGAGCTAGACAAAAGTCAGGCAAAAAGGGGGGCTCTGGGAAAAGAGAATCCACAGGCTAAAGCAATAACAAATGTTAACCATCTCTGTACCTGACAGAACCATCCGTGGAGGCTGTCACCACCAGGTTTTTCTCCTCCTCATAGAATAGGCTGACCACTTTGGTGGAGTGAGCTCGCCAGTAGAGCTGCTGCTTTATTTGCTGAGGGGAGGAAAGCAAGCAAGCAAACACACACACACAAACATAACTGGCCACATTTCAGTCTGCTATGCAGTCTTAAAATTGTTACCCCCACAGTGTCCTTATGAAGCAAGCTGTCTTCAGACTCAAAAGATGAGAGGTTATGATAACCCTGAAAACAAGCTAAAGGCAGTGTGCATGAAGCCACTTGGCTAAATTCATCCCTAGTGCAACTCCACTTTCTACAATGGAGTTATGCTAGGGACAGTTTACTGTTGTTCTTTGTGTTGTCCATAGTTTAAAATAGACAATTCAAACCAAAGGTTTAGGCTTACTCTTTGTAGCTGGGAAGAAAGTGGACTGACTGGTCCCAGGATAGTGAACTGTTATTCCATTTTTTCTCTACCTTCCATATGTGAACGGTGAATTATTTAGGTGGAAAAAATGTTTCAGTCTCACCTTATTTTCATCTTGAGGATCTTCCAGGAATGAGCCAGTATTCCAGCGCATAATATGCCCCTCTGTATTTAAAAAACAAAACCATAATTTCAAAAGAGGTTCAAATCTCTTTGTAAGTGCCCCCTTTTGCTAGCACTTTAAAGACTAACAAGATGGTTTAATAGGTGATGAGCTTTCGTGGGCCAGACCCACTTCCTCAGATCAAATAGTGGAAGAAAATAGTCACAACCATATATACCTAAGGGATACAATTAAAAAAAAGAACACACATGAAAAGGACAAATCAGAACAGGAGGGAGATACGGGGG